TTCTGGGGTCTTTTCCAAGAACCCTTTGCCTATGCCAATGTCTTGCAGCTTCCCCAATGTTCTCTAATGATTTGATGGTACTGGGTTGTAACTTAGGTCTTTGACCCATTTTCAGTGGATTTTTGTGTAAGGTGTAAGGTAGGGGTCTAGTTTCATACTTCTGCACATGGAGATCCAGTTTCCCCAGCACCTTTTTTTTTTTTAAGAGACTGTCCTTGCTCCAGGGATTGAATTAGCTCCTTTGTCAAAGATAAGTTGGTTATAGATGCATGAATTGAGAAAACTTTCTTGAAGAGTTCATCTCTTTATTTTAGCATCACAGAGGAAGAAACTAAGTCACAAGAAAATCGTGGCTAACTCAAGGGTGAGCATGTGTTATAACTCACTCAAGTATCTGCAACCCAGGTCAGTTCCTGCAGGTTTGGTCTTGATAAAAGGCTAATCCTTTTATAGTTACCAGCTTCCACTGAACCCTCTGAGTATAAAGATTATTAAGATTGCATAAGGCATTTCTGTTTTCATTATCCCATACTTTGGTCTAATATTACAAAAAGCGGATGCCAGGTGTTCTTTCTATAGAAACAGATATCCCCAAAGACAATCCCTGTGAAGTTACAGATGTCAAGCATATCAACTAACATTTTACTTTGTGCTTCATTTATAAGTCTGAGGACCATGGTAGAGGGGCTTTATGAGTCATCTGACATTCCATTTTGCTTCTGTGTACAAGAGTATATCAGCCTCCTATTCTTATCACTTTTACAAGACGCCTTTATCGAAAAGAGAGAGTGTACATAGCTACTTCCTTTCAAAAATAAGAAATGACTGTTAAGATATGGATGTGAAAGTGGGGCCGGCTAATCCTCTGCCTAGCGGCGCCGGCACACCAGGTTCTAGTCCCGGTCAGGGTGCCGGATTCTGTCCCAGTTGCCCCTCTTCCAGGCCAGCTCTCTGCTGTGGCCAGGGAGTGCAGTGGAGGATGGCCCAAGTGCTTGGGCCCTGCACCCCATGGGAGACCAGGAAAAGCACCTGGCTCCTGGCTCCTGCCATCGCATCAGCGCGGTGCGCCGGCCGCGGCGGCCATTGGAGGGTGAACCAACGGCAAAGGAAGACCTTTCTCTCTGTCTCTCTCTCTCACTGTCCACTCTGCCTGTCAAAAAAAAAAAAAAAGTGAATTGATATGATGTTATTACTATCCATTATATATTAATTTATTTTCTTTTTAAAAAATATTATCATTAGATACAAAATATGAAATATGATTAAGAAATATGGCTTCAGGCCACTCAAGCGTAGGAGGTTAAGAATCCTCTGACCTTCGTTATAACCCTGGTTTTGACAAGGAACTCAGAGCTTCTTGGTCTCTTCCAAAGTTCTCTTTTGAAGCACTTGGTGGCATCTCAACTATGAGCACTTCTAATCCACGTCTTTTTAGCTTCTCTAGTATTTTTTCCATGACACCATGATAAGGATAGAATGAAGGAAATAGACCATGCCTTATTTTCTTAACACCTCTGCCTCTACTGTTTACTATGACCCTATGCAGATGATGTAAAATTTTGTTAGATGATTGAAATAAATGTCCCAGAGCAAGGAAATGTGTGTTTCCTATGACACTGGATTGTCTGCAAAACACTAAAGCCACACCTCGCAGAATTTCTAACATGAAATCTGGCTTTCTGATTTTCTGCGTTTTTGCTATCAAATTGCTGTTCTGAGACACTTAATGTTGCTGCTCCCACAGAAACTTACAAACTGAAGATGATAGTGTGTACACTTGAGAAAATGAACAATCATGTAGATACTTTGTATGCTTTGGAGAGACAGGGTAGAAAAGTGAAGTTTGAACTTAGTGTTTTTCCTCTAGAGTTTTGTTACACATTAGTCATAAAAATAACAAAAATAACTAATTTACACTTGGTTTAAGAGTTTACAGGATTAAATACTTTCCTAGATGGTCTCTTCTTTATTTCCAATGGGTGGATCCAGGACTTTGTGGCCAGCTCCTTGAAGATTCAAATTTCAAAATGTTCAGGTTTACAACTGATTACTCAAAGCCATGTTCCTGTAACAGATATTTACAGGTTATTCATTATAGATCAGGCACTGCATTCAAGCTGGAGATAAAGTAGTGAGTAAATTATCCAAAAAAAGGAGACTGCCAGGGATGGTATTATGGTACAGCTGGGCTGGTGATGTGGCACAGTGGGTTAAACCGCGGTTAGGAATATCCGCATCCCATATCAAAGTGCTGGTTCAAGTCTCAAGCCTCAGCTGCTCTGATTCCAATTCAGCTTCCTGCTAATTCATCTAGGAAAGCAGCGGAGGATGGCCAAAGTACCTGTACCCTTGAGGAATGGAGTTCCTGGCTCCTGGCTTTGGCCTGACCCAGGCCTGGCTGTTGTAGCTATTTGGAAAGTGAGCCAGTGGATTGATGATTCTCTCTCTCTCTCCCTCTCCCTCTCCCTCTCCCTCTCCCTCTCCCTCTCCCTCTCCCTCTCCCTGTCTCTCTCCCCCCAACTCTCTATCCCCCTTTCTGTGTGTTTGTGCATACACTTGTGACTTCCTTTCAAATAAATAAATAAATACTTCTTCAAAAAAATGATAGGTCATTATGGAGCTAACAGAGAAATCAGTATTCTATAGGTCTATTTAGTAAAGTTCTTCACCCAGTCCAGGGGCGCCAAGCAGAAATTCCTGGGGGAAGTTATGAATAGGAACTATCTAGGTCAAAGCTACATAAAGATGTTGGGTAGTGGGGTGAAGAGAGAAAAGATTCCAGGTATAGAGAACAGTATTGCAGAAGCCAAAGAGTAAGAACACTCAACTTTCAGGGAACTCTAGAAAACAGCATTTCATTTAATTTATCAAGTATTTATTTGGTATCCATTATTTGCCTGACCACTCCACTAAGTACCATCAGATACATATTTACAATTTTCCCTAATGGATATATATAATCTCAATGGGTACTGACAATCTAACACCTGAAATAATGAGAACACCCGATTTTAAAGAATACAGTGCTGAAATCAGAGTTAGAGGATAATAAATGGTGAAGAAGAAGAAAAGATAGTGATATTGCCATGGGCTGATTTAGAGAAAGTGTTACTTAATATCTAATAAATTATAGTCAGGATCACTGTTTATTTGATGTCTTCTGAAAAGTAAGATTGGCAAATAATCTCTAGGCCCTTAACCTTGATT